TGCCAAGCTTATCAAAGCATGTTAAAAAGAGAATGAAAAGTGAAATGATGATGAGTTACGATTTATATGGAAGTACAATGAATCCAAACAACGGATTCACAAGGTCAGGTGAAAGTAAAGTACAAAATCTAATACCATACAACGATATTTCAATTGTTCCCAAAAGCAAAAATGATCAACTTCAATGGTCAAAATAAAAATTATATATGTCTAAGCAGCAAGACCTGTTAGAAAATATACAGACGAGAGCTACACGCATCCCATACTGTATCCAACGACCTTGCTACGAAGAGAGGCTAAACCTATTCAATTTAACTGACTTCTCCGATAGACGCTTACGTAGTGACTTGATAATCACTTACAGAGCTTTGTATGGTATCCTCGGTACTGACATATCCTCACTTTTCTGTATGATCACCATCCACCTTCGAGGCTACAACTAATGAAAGAAACGATTCGAACTACACCTCCCAAGTTTTTCTTCTTTAACCGAGTATTTGATACCTGCAACAGGCTGCCCTACGACGTTGTTAGTACGTGCACAGTTAACAGGTTCAAGAATTGAAAAGCAGTGAATAACAAAACATATACATCAATATTCAACCAATACCTATGTGCGACAGAATGAAAATCTTCACATATAAATCATATACAAGTTTAATAGTGAGAAAAGTGTGAGGCCTACGAAAACCTGTACTGAAATTGTACCAAAAAAGACCACTAATTTTTTTAAGGTCTTGCGTCTTCCTACTCGTTCGTGGATCTGGAAGGTTCGAGGATTTTACAGAGCTTCGGAGGTCTCCTGAAGGTCGACATATTGTATAGGGATGTAATTTTTTTTTTATACTCCAAGTACCACGAAGGCCTAAGGCCTAAGCACCCATTGGGTACCGTGGGGCTATAGGGGGATACATGGGAAAAGGGGGGACGCCACACGGACTCTGGCGAGGGAACACGTGTGCATGCAACATGCACACATTCTGGCTCCGCCTACGAGAACCGCCGGGTGGTACCTCCGCGTTCGACAGTCAGAGACCATCTACCACCTACGGACAATCACAACATCCATAGCCAAGAGAAAAATTTCTCCTGGGACGGGACTCGAACCCGCACAGCGCACGGCGACTGATCAGGAGACCGAAGAGTCTACTACTGCGGCCACCGCTGCTGCCTAAAACAAACACACAACATCCATGGCGAAGGCGAGATTCGAACTCGCGGCCCGGCCGGCCGGCTGATCAGTAGCACGACACTCTGACCCACGCGGCCAACCGAGGTCCCATAATGAAAAGAAGCGCAACTGAACTGCTAACTGGAACACAGATAAATATATTGTCATTGTACGGAGATCACATTTGTGATTGAAGCGTGTACAGTAAAGAAGGTTCTATCAATACATATGGTTTTATTGGTCAGACAAGCATGGGAGTTACGAAAATGGTGGGCCCATGTCAAGTGGGTTGTCACAGTGACAAACATAGACTAAGAATACTCACTTTGGCGAGATGAAGCTAAAGAACGTATGACTGAGCTTACACACGCTCGCACACAGAGGCAAACTTCATATTACCTATGTATGAAAAAGATGGATAAAGAAAAGTAATGCCGGTAGTTTTAGTGAAACCTTCCAAAAAGCGTTAAATGAATTAGTGCATGTCATCATATACCTGAGGGCTAATTTCAATTGATTGATTTTGACATTGGCTTGGCAATGTTGATATAGAAATCAATGGATGTATTTCATCTGTCAGTTAGAATCGGATCCCTGGTCATTGATTTGAAGCTTTCCTACGCACCAGAAATCTTGACATTGTCCCACAAGCATTTACTGCTTAGATTATTTTGTTGTTTGTATATTTGATTAGGTGCCTGGCATCCTAATCAGATATACATTCACGACCTAGCTCATTGGCTGTAGAATACGGTATCCCCGGAACAATATCGCGTAGAGCCCTGACTGGAATCCAACCGCGCGTAGGTATCTCTAGGCGGAGGAGATACGAGGCTACAAAGCTCGGCATCAGAGCCTCTATGAAGCAGATTAGCCTATCTCCTTCAGATGGAGACTGTGACGCAAAAGCGTATTCTCGTATCATTGATCTTTTTCACGAGAAGATCCAATTTTTAATGAAGTCTGTGCATTACATTCCCTTGGCGGGTGTGACAAAGCGTCGACCTAAATCGAAAACTTAACAAAATTGATTAAGTAATACCTTCATCGGTATTTTACAAACACCATTGTTTATCGAAATAAGACAGCGCTAAGCGCCTTCTGCCACCACAATCACCACGTGACCGCTAAATGGCGACGATTCTAGCTATGTAGTAGATGTGACTTACTTGCCATTAAAAAAACAAAATAAATATGGTCTGCTTTGGCCATGGACAGATATTGCGTGCTTTTTGGCTACTTCTCAGCATGGCCTAGGCTGGGGTTTCGGTAGGCTGCGATTCACTATGCGCAGTGATTGATTATAGTGCGCGCTGTCTTATTTCCATATATATCTCACATTTGTATAGTGTAAAGTTGCTAAGCTTTCTTTCGCCGTTCGAGAGATTCTAGTCCAGAACATGCTGAAGAGTAGCGAAGGAGCGCAAAATAGCTGTCAGTAGTTGACTGTTTTTGGTCAAACGGAGGAAAGCAGGAAATTTTTGCTTAGCATTATTTTAAATACAGAATACAGACCTGCACTTTCTTATCCTTAAGCCTATTCACAGTTGTGCAATAAGTCATTGTTCTTAGCGAGTAACCTCAACGTATCCAGATATGTTCTGCTGATACATAAAAAAACAATTTTCAGCATTACATAAATGAGTAGGTACCGCATATGCGCGTTGAGATCGTGATAACGTTCAGAGATTATAACCTTACAAAAAAAATGGACAGATTACGATATGTCACAAGCACTCAGGTGTATGAGAAACTTTTTATCTGATGGACGCATTATGCACTGTCTCCTTCGTTCTTATTTAAAGCGGTTTTTCTTATACTAACTGAGGCAGTTTTCATTTTCGGAACGCTGCCTTAATTTGACCCCAAAATAGCGAATAACATATTATGCTACCTTGGGCTGCATGTTGTCATTTATCAATCATTTTTCTAGTTCCGTCATCCATTCTCGTGCTGCGATGATCAATTGTTGAACAGAAGAGAAAACCACAAGAAAAATGATGTTTTTAATAACTCTTAAAGTATACAAGAATCTAAGTTGGCAGCTGGCTAAAGCTAATGTTAGCAGAAATATTATTTTATACGATAGTTGCTACAAGTGCAAAACTATGCAACAATATAGTTCCGAGGACGATACAAATAGTAGGCCCTGGATTACGCTCAAGCTAATTTTTTAGCGTAACGGCAGTCTTTCTGAACATTCGCCAAGCAGACCGAGGAAATATTGTCGAAAAGTTGCCTTCCATCACTGATATGCCAGGATGCAACGATTTTCACTGATTTCGGGTCCAAGATCTCCACGGTAAGCTCCATCGTCGACGCCCTTGACAATGCTCTAAGTGCTGTCGATCCAAGCTTGTTGGGCACTGAAACCGAAAGAAGTTACAACTTCGAATTAAAGCGTGAATAATCATGACATCAAGTTTTTGCTTTGTCATAAGAATAAAAATGTCATAACTAGCAATAATAAAAATATTGTCAGTTCCTAACTATATGAGAATGTGCAAAGATTGTATTTGCAGGTTTTGGAATTAATATTTTCGACCTATAACAAATAAATTGTATTGGATTATTTGAGAACAGTATACAAAGGTGTATAATGAATATGCCAAGAATTTAGACACCAAATCATTGATCAAAGATGAAATTGGAACAACCTTGTTACTGTTATGTCTTGGAAATCATTGCCACAAGTGCTTCACTGCACTTACGTAAGTCGGAATGAAGTGTTGTTATATAATTTGAACATAATTTGTAGGTGTATTAAACCTACTACAAATTCAATTCCGGGCCAATACTGCTACTGCAAGACATATAAAAGTTTATGTTATACTTTTTTCGAGACAAAAAGTATTATAATATAGCATACCAAAAAGGATAGTGGCATTACCTTATCTTTTATATTTTTTCTTCAGTATTGACTTATTTGTAGCTATTTATAAAAAAATACCATGTAAACATCTAACAACAAAATATGCCTTTTAGTGGGTTGTTATAAAATATTTTGGAGACAAATAATGTTCAATTTTTCAAAGCAATTTTGGGAAAATTTGCTAAGAGATTCAAACACGGCTAGATACCGAAACAATCAAAAAGCTCCCTACAGAAACTGCAAAAGAATATATTGAGCTGTTTTTATGCTATCACTTTGCATAGCCGTTAGCTTTCTGAGGAGGCTTAGGAAGTTTGTCCGAGAGCACAGAACTAGGAGTCATACATAATACTTATATTCGCAGGAATTGTACCCAAGAGGGCAACCATCTATAAGAGGCAACTTTATGTGAAAGCCTCCAAAAGCTTTCAACGAGTAGGGGGTAGCAAGTTTTCTCGGGGATAGGATGGCTAAGTCCCGAAAATCCTCGACGCTGTACTCAAAATAATGCTACCATGAAAATATTGAAGGAACAACATGATTCCTAGGGGCCACCACAATCCACCTACCACGCCCCCTCCTCACTCCGCGAGCTCACATGGTACAAATATTTTTTGGGCAAATCACTCCAAAAAAGTACCGAAGATCGAACCTATAGTGACGCTAACATACCTAATTTAACCCTTAACCACAGACATCCGGTCAAAATGACCGGCTGCAAATTTCAACTGCTGAAATTCATCGCATCCCCTGCACTACCGCTTATGAGTTTCTACGTACCTTCGTAACACTTAGTTTGATGCAGATTTGATGCTATTAGCCGGTGGATGGAGACTGTATTACTTGAAGCAAGCGAAATATCGTAGTTCAAAGTTCGCAACCGGTAAAAAAGACCGGAGGTCTGTAATAACGAAATAATTTGGATATGTTGAATTATTATTTTTCTGATGCTTTTAGCCTTATAAATTGAGTATGGATTCTAATCCTGCGCCTTCAAAGAGAGTAAAATATGGACATGCTGATTTTGAAGCTACTTTACTGAAATGGGCTGAGGAAGTCGATTCTGGTGGAAGCGATATCGAATCAGATGGTGACTATATACCATCGGATCATGACATTAAGTCGGAGGTTGAATTCGACGAAGAGGACAACGAAAATCTAGGTGAAATTGAAAATCCAGAAAATGTTCCCAGTGGCAACTACGTTTATGGTAAGAATCGCTATAAATGGTGCAAGGATTCTCCAGTTCCCAAGAATACACGCACGTTACAACACAACATTGTTGTTAAATGCCCGGGACTTAAAAGAAATGACATCCACAGTGCTGATGCTGAGCAAGTATGGAGTCTTTTATTTAATGAGCAAATTCTGAATGTCATTCTTCAATCCACCAATGCAACATTGATGAAAATTCGTCAAAAATACAATAATGCAGCAAAAACTTCGATATTCGTGATTTGGATCTTATGGAACTTAAAGCTTTTCTACGATTGCTAACTTCTACGTTAATTTTTAAATCCAACCATGAGGACGTAAGATCCCTTTTCGCCACAGATGGCTCTGAACGAGAAATTTTCCGAAGCGTGATGAATGTGAACTGATTGTCAATAATTCTTTCTTGTTTAAGATTCAATGATGCCGAAACTAGGGAAGAGCGTAGAAATCAAGATCCATTAGCAGCCATTTCCGAAATATTTAATAACTTACACTATAGGAACATGTGCTTGTATCGACGAAATGCTCGTTGCATTTCGCAGTCGATGCAAGTTTAAAATGTTCATGCCAGCCAAACCCTGCAAGTATGGTCTAAAAGTTATGTGTCTAACGGTTGCCAGAACTGGATACCTCTTGAATGCTTATATATATTCTGGAAAGAATTCGGATGGCTATCTGTTAACAGATGAGGAACGAAAATTCTCGAAACCCACTCAGGCGGTACTCAGACTTGCCAAATCTATTTATAACACAAACAGAAATATTACAGCCGATAACTTGTTTTCCTCAAAAGAGCTGGTAAATTTCTGAAAACTAAAAATCTAACTTTTTTCGGAACAAAAAAATAAAGGTGAGATTCCTCCTACATTTTTGACAAATAGAAAAAGAGAGATGTTATCTTTTGTACCTAAAAAAAAATAGAGCATCTCTTGAACCACAATAAAAATACCGATGTTGAGACTGATAAGCCAGAAATTATCTGTTTTTACAACACTACTAAAGGTGGAGTCGATAGCCTGGACCAAGTCCCGTCCTCAAGTCGTAGAACTCGCCGATGGCCCATGACCATTTTTTTCAGATTGGTAGATATAACGTCTGTAAATTCATATATTCTACATCAGTCATAAAGAGATAATCCAGAAATCAAATGTGCGTATTGGTCGTGAAACGAAAACATCTATAAGGAAGCATACTACAATTTTAACAAGAAGAACATCCGATGGAAGATGATAAACTGAATACAAAAACGACTTGTAGACGTTGTCCCTCAAAGATGGAGAGAAAAACATTCCATGTTTGTATAATTTGTAACTCCATCTAAATATGCTTATAGCTTACTCTTTGCAGATATTTTTATATAGAATGTTTTTAGTTTTGCTTTGATGTAATTTTATTTAGAATAGTTTATTTCAATTATTTATGTGCGAAAAAGTGCTGTTTATTTATGACTCTGTTACAATTGATCAAAAAAATAGCAATAAAATATTTTTTTTCATACTCTACTCTTATTTCATTCAAATATAGTTAAAACTAGATCAAGTGCTAATTAGAAAGATCTAAGAGTTAATCCAGATGCTGTAAAAAAAATAAAGATTTTGTTGTTCATGTATAGTCAAAAAAAGACAACCGGTCAAAATGACCGGTAGTCTGTGGTTAAGTCCTACAAACGTGACCTCTGTAGCTAAGGGTTAAGTGAAATTTAAGTGATTGTGATTTAAATATAACAATCACATAGTATATCCAATCAATTTTGGGATGGCTGTGTATGAAATTATTTACCCTCGATCAACATATCAAACGGACAACTGTTACCACAGGACACATGGTGGTTTCAGCACGTCAAAATTACTGTTTAATTAAATATAGCATTAATATGTAATACATATACATGTACTCGTATCAGTTAGCAGAGCTTTGAATAAACGATCTCGTTAGAAGTTTCATTTTAAAATATTAATTACATGTTGGTTCATTTATTTTACGGATGTGTGCTGTATGGGTGTTTAACGAGCTTGCATGTGGAAAACTTGCATATGGAATTTCGTAATCATAGAGACACCAAAGCGGCAGGTATTTGTTTTATTTTTTTTTTGATCTTATATGGCAACTGTATCACGAAAAACCATATCACTTATTTCCTCCGGCCTGTCTGTCTGGATAAAATGGATGAAAAAGTATAAGCGTTCATTATTGAAAGACCATGTTGTATGTCAATATTTATTGCACCAAATTTCTATCAAGATTGTAATCAAGATGACTGGTGTAGTCCAGTAACCTTGCCAGGTGGTCAATAGTTTGGATAGGGCAGAGGAAAATCTCGAGCATAATCAAATTATGGGCTTTATTGTATGAGCCTGTCTGGTTGACTTGATCCATTAAATTTTTTGTTTGTACATGTTCTTAGCTAACTCTTAAAATAATTTCGTCTTTTAGAAAATGAAGACAGCGTTACGTGGGAAGTGGAGAGTCAACCTGCCGGACGCTATTTTTTACATCAGTCAGAAAGAGCTCAGCCTCAGGCAAGGACAGCGTAATTAGACCAGCAGCATTACAGACACGTAAATGGTATTTTTTACAAGATGTTGTCTGTATCGAATAATCTACCAGAAGAGGCTATCCACGGTTTTGCTGACTCAAGACCACCAATGACATCTTTTGGTGTGCATCATTATATCTGAAGCAACGAGTTCGGACCCGGTAAAAGGAGCCAGTCAAGGATACGTTTTTCTCCTAGTGCTCTTAGTGAGATAAGTTAATTTTTTGACAGTTTTGTTATTAAATTCGTATATTTCGTGTTATTTTTAAAAACGTAGATGTTTCCACCGGTAGGTGTTGATACAACGGTGTCACTTTGGTAGATAAATGAGTCGAAAGTATAGATCAAAATTAAGCAGATTCGAATACAAACAATGCAATGTAAATACAGAGGCTTGGCTCCTTTTACCCTATTCGAATTTGTTGATCTAAAGGGATTATTACTTCCAATATGACCACTTCATAATTAGCTAAACAGCAGAAACCTCTTTCAGCTTCGCAAACTGTGATTCTAATCTGAACAAATAAAAGAAGGGAGTCTGAATAAAGCTGAGGTCCGCTATGAAATTCAAACGCTAATATGAGCATTTCTATGCGAACGTATAGTAAAACAGAACTGCTACGAGTAATTTTTGAGATAAAATACAATACTGACTAGCATACAATGTGGATGAATTCATTTATTTGAGAACAAATAGACCTGTGTATGTGGGTACACATCTACATAGAGCATGTACCCAAGCGAGGGATATAGCTATATGGAACAATAGCGCTCTAAAAGGCAACGGTTTAATATTTAACATATGCAAATTGATGGAATATATGTATGTGGCTGGCTTTACCAGATCCCTAGAGGGTGGCAAATTAATAATGATATATTATTTCAGCCTGCTCAGAAGGTGTTGGAGTGTTTTGTGATATCGTATGTTACGTATTACATCACATTATTAAATTAATGAAAATTAGTGATTTACAATAAATGGCCGAGTGACCGGCATCCGTAGAATGTTTGGTATTAGTGTAGCTAATTATTATACACTATTATGCTGAATTGGTGAATGCTTTTTACTAACCCCTAAGAAGTTTACTTAATAAATTTGGAGCACTGTTGTGGCATTTAACAAACTAGTGTCATAAAAAGTGAATAATAAGTCCGTATCTCCTATCCTTATTTATCGACAGTCAGTTGAAATAGTTTTCGACACTAAGAATCCGGATACACATCTTTAGTCAGAAGAAGTAACTACCAGTCTGTTCTTCAACTTACCTTGGTATCCATACGACATGTTGAATGTCCACATATAAAGTGCTGTCATCTAATAACTGTGGATCGATTGGCAGAAATTTGTTTACTTGCTTACTTCACACAGCAACTCTCTGGAATCCTTGACTCTGGCGGTCAAGTAGATTTATGTATACAGACTTCTCAGAAGCCTTCACTGGACCATCGTATCTTAATCGCTTGACTTGATTATTTTGGCTTATCTCTTCAGTCAATACCACTTTTCACTTAATATTTAGGGAATAGGTTATAACTTGTACCTTATAATGGGGTTATATAGAAACTTCAGGCATTCCTCAAGGAAGAAAGCTTGACCCACTGTTATTTACAGTCTTCATTAATGACACAAATTACTTATTAAATTCGAGTAGATTATTATATGCCTCAATATTTATTCCGTTATCAATACTTATTCTGTCTGTGTTTTGTTTCAAGCTACATTGGATGGTGCGAGAAAAACCAGCTTTATGACATTTTCTAAACAATGTGTGCTTTTTTTTGTTACAGCATCCAAGAAGCAAAATAAAATCATCAGTACAGTGTCTGGACTTGGGAGTTTTGTCTGATCCGGAAATAAACTTGATTGTGACAAATTGTATAAAACTCAATAACATCTTAGCTTTGGAGTGTTTTTTTTTTTCGTATGTAAGATCAAAGAAGACTGTTCTATAATGTGGCTTCCTTATCAGGGATGTCATGTTGGAAGGTTGGAGAATGTTGAAAGATAGTTTTTGAAATACTAATCATTTAAAATATATCATGTCTACCTGGAACAAGGTATTTAGTATCAATTGTTATTGAATCGTTTTGTTATGGCACGCTTACAACTGAGGTGTAAGTTGTGCTCTCTATCATTTTGTGTAATCTATGATACAACATAATTGGTTGTTCTGAATTATTAGGTAAGGACAGTTCCAACGTTTCCCAGTTTAAGCCATGCAACAGTGCTATTTTTGCTGCGATGAAATATTTGAGAGAAATCGCAAGTTTTACGCTTTGAAATGTACATCAAACTACAAAAGATCTACCTACCTATCCTTATTCTTCATGAGCAGCAAGATGGGTTAGGGAACTTTATATCTGCCTAAAATATAATGGGGAATGCTGAAATAAGCAGTTTTCTGGACAAAAAAACCCGAGCATAAAATCCCTCTTCAATTTGCAAGTCATCCGTGAATCAGATCTCGGCTGAAACTCCTGTCTTATTTGATGCTCTATTGCTGACGCATCCAAAAAATATCCCCCATATGAGGTGAATGAAGTCTAACTTTTGGAAGTTCAATAGGACAGCAGAATGCCTTTTCATGCAGAAAACCATACCTGCTCTTTGAACACCCTGTACATCCAACCGCAAAATCATATCAAAACGGATAAAGAAAACAGAAGTAGGGGAGAAATATCGTCAAAAGGCCCTCTTAAAATTCCTCGAGGATGGCTGGAGTCTACCCTTAATTAAAGATTAAAGAAAATATATATTGCCGCGGAGCAGGGCGGTTTTTGTACAACCAACGGCAACCCAAGCAGTTAAAATGTAAATGTAATAATAAGGAGCTAGTTCTAGGTGGCGTTTTGAGTTATATCACCAATTATGGCGAGCAGAAATTGCGCCTTCCCCCATTCCTCTAAGACGTCTACGTCTATTGGGCACGATAAATCCGAAAAAAATCTTTCAAATGAAAAGGATGCGGGATTTGTTTCGCATGGCGCAAATTTGTTGCGCCAGCAGATGGAAGATCATGCCGCCTTTAATATTCTTGCAAATGTGCACCTTATATCCTTATAGAATATTTGTCGTAACACACCGGTTAATTGTTACGTAAACTTCGACTAAAATGTTGCAGTTGGATGTTAGGGTGACGTGTCTCGTGCATTAAAAATCGACAGATAACCATGGCTTTTTGTTTTGGGGGGCTAGACGTCCCCCGATCCCTGGGCTATGCTGGTGCCATCTTAAACTCCCGGCATGTTAGGGACTTTTCAGACCATTTCAGTAAATCACTGGGTAGGAATCTGGAAATGAAAAGAAAAAACAAACGTAGTGTCACCTGGAAGGCAGACACATGTGTGTACAATATTGTCAAGAAAGTGTCATGTGCTGAAGAACGTCACCGTTGTGACCAGTGATGGGCGCATTGTATACACCGTGTATACGCATATACAATAGTGAATATATACGTCTCGCTATACAATGTATAGAATGTAAATAATGTATTATTCAATAGCAAATCATAGTTCAGCTACTTGCATATAGTACTGGCAAAAGTCCCTTTCCCTTTTATATTTCCATGTGTAACGAGGAAGGGAGAGACGGGGACAAGCGGGCACCAGTTGTGTAGAAAGAGTGCTCCCACACACCACGTTGCCTGGCACAACAGTGATGAAGACCGCAAAACACAACTGTAACTTGCTGCAAGACCTTGTTTTCTACCCTGAAATACACATTTCTGTCGAATCTGTTTGGGGTCAATCCCTAGAAGGAACTGAAAGTTCAGGTTAGATACAAATTGTGCAACCTTGCATTATTGGTTTGACTATGGAAGCAGTTTATAAGTGATGAAAAAATGTATAATATTTATTTATATACAAATATACAGTTTTGTTATTAAGAACAACAAATGACGCCTAGTTCATCGATTTCTTTGTTCTTTGAGCGTCCAACCAAATTATTTTTAAGTTGTCGGTTTACTGTTTACCAACTTTCTGAGGTTTGCGAATAAACCGAACCTCACTTATGCTATTCTAGACGCAATGTATACATTGTATTCATTGTATACGCAATGTATACATTGTATTCATTGTATACGCAATGTATACATCGAGACGTAGACAATTAATGAATACGCGTAAATGCCCATCACTGGTTGCTACCGAAATGTATACATTCAAGAAAAATTTCAGAAACATGTGGTTTCATTTGCCAGACAAACAGAAGGGATTATGTACCACGCTTTTTTGTTTAAATTAAAGCTGATGTTAATATGTATTGTATTAACTAACTGGTATGCAGATAACAGAGACAGCTAGCACATGTAACGATTTGTAATTTTTTTGAGCACGCCACGCAAACAAGTACACTCCCCAAAAATTTGCACACAATCGCTGCGGGAAAACGACTGAGATTCATATTTATGCTTACAAAAAGTGCCAATCTAATATTAAATACCTTTTGATAAAAAATTGAGGATTGTCAAGGAAGTGTATCTAAGATCATTATTTATTAATGTTCAAATACATATGTATACGTTAGATGCAATGACTTTTTCAGTCGACATTCATCTTTTTTGTAAATGCTTTAGGCATAAAGAATGGAATATTTACGATATATTAAGAACTCGATTTCAAAATAAGCCATCACTCAAATATGCATAATTATACCCCCTTACACTATATAATATACACATATAAACATAAGCCTCAAGGTTTTCTTAAAAACGTTATGGGAAGAAAATTGATATAAACTTGAAGCAAATTGGGAAATTAGGTCTGATCTCTAAGAAAGATTTGTATCAAATCTAATCTAGTGTTCAATGATTCTTGTAAATTAACAAGGTTATCAGGTATTCTGATCCGAATAATAAATGAATCATTGATGATCCACAATATGCAATAGACAGGGTGATTCACAAGTCTTGACCAAAAATTAAACATTATACACAGGACCGCATTTTAAGGAAGGTCTTCTGTGTAACATTTTTTCCTCAAAGGTTTCATAAAAAAGTTTTTCTTAATATCCCCAGTACCGTCAACTCGAATATATTAAAATTTGTTATGTGGATTAACCTAACTGTTGTCCACATTCAAAAGTCTTTACTTAAAATTAACGTGCACCTGTGGCGGAGATACAGGTGATTAGTGATATTATTCCTCAAAATAAAATAGTATGGTAGTTTTATTTTTGAAATTTTTACCTTGAATTTGCTACAAATATATACTCACTCTTGTGTTGTTTGCCTAGTGTGCAATGTTTTCGTAAAAGTAAAAATAAAACTAATTTGATCATTCATGGACTCATCCCCATTCTATTCACCCCTATTTCAATTACCTTGTGGCTTTCTTCGTAATACCCAGCCAACTTTTGCCACCGAATCTGGCAGGTTCCAGCTTTTTCGTCTCAGAGTTATAGTCAACGCCAAACAAAGTGGCGTGCACGTCATCAAGGTGGGTGTGTTGAAAAATTTACATTGTTGCCAAACTTTTTGTAAAATAATAAAATTTATTATTTACATATCTAGGTTTATAAGCAATATTAACCTCAAATGAGAACAAAAATAATAGTATAATAAAATTATAGATCTGTACTTGCATAATCATTAAGTATGACAATTATTGATCAGATGACACTATGAAACTACCATATTTAATTGATAGCTTAAAGGTACTGAATAAAAATCCAAATGGGGTCCTCCAAATGTTATGCATGGTATTTATTTTACAGAATTCATACAGAAAAATGCATTCTAAAATTAGGTAAGCTACTGGTGTAAGCTTTTTCTGTACAATAAAGTTAGTCGGAGTTTCTTTCTTCAGCGCTGTCTGAATCTGAATCTTCATCACTCTCAAAGTTGATTATTAAAGGTTCGATGTCTGGTCGATCAAAAATTCGTTCTCTTTCATACCATTTAAAAATTTCTTGCTCAGTATGTCGAACACTATTTTTCCACATGTCTGGGGTAA